ATGCTAGAGTGAAAACTGTGGTACCTAGTGAACATGCTAGAGTGAAAACTGTGGTACCTAGTAAACATGCTAGAGTGAAAACTGTGGTACCTAGTAAACATGCTAGAGTGAAGACTGTGGTACCTAGTAAACATGCTAGAGTGAAAACTGTGGTATCTAGTAAACATGCTAGAGTGAAAACTGTGGTACCTAGTAAACATGCTAGAGTGAAAACTGTGGTACCTAGTAAACATGCTAGAGTGAAAACTGTGGTACCTAGTAAACATGCATACCAGAGTTATCGTGAAAGAATGCTAGTTCCAAGGCAGGATTCAATCATCAATATCTGAAAGTTTACAGTATTGTACCGAATTATAATACAAGGAATAAATTCACTGGTTCTAGATTACTTTCAACTAACACCGTTTATCAGGATGTTACTTATGTCATCAAAACGACGAAAATATATTTCACAAATAATTTTACTTCAAAAAGAAATTATACAATAAATTACAAAAATTTCATTTCGAATTAATGATAAAGTTCTTATTGAAATAATTATCATAAATATAGTAAATATAGCTGGCAATGTGATAAGCCGAACAATAATGTTTCTTAAACGTAATAAAAACAATAATTAAGTTTACTTGTCATCAGACATTAGTATTAGGCCTATCACATTTTAAACAGTGCATTATATATCTAGGCTTTTAGAAATTTACAAAATGTGTAATAGTGTTTCAACCACATTATGTTCAGCATATTCATTACCGACGACTAGTTTCGCTCGGTCCAAAATTCGTTAGCTCAGCTCAGAGAGAACAAATACAGTAGTGTTCGGAACACTATTTTGTTACAGCAAAAATTGTTATATTGAAACGCTTTTTTTTTCTCGCAAACTCTTGAGTGAGCGAAACGCGCCGTCGTCAATGGTTAGGGCGAACATAGTGTAGTTGTAATATTATACACTCGTCTAATAGGTGAAAATCTCTAAGGGATTAGATTAAGAAAGTAGCATTTAAAAATATGATAGGCCTAATATTAAAGTCTGACGAGCAGTAAAATTAATTGTAGTCATGATTCGTCAGTTTGAAAAAAACATTTAATGTATCGTTTTCTGGGACATTAATAGTGCCATATTAAATGTCACACAACTCTTTTATAAATTTGAAAACTGGAAAAGAAACGGAAAGAAGTTTTTAAGCGTACTTACATAACACAACCAAGTGAATGTTATTACTCTGTCCTTTTCCAACGCTGTTTTCAGCAACACAGTAGTAGTCACCTTCATGTTCTCGTGTTAGATTCTTTATCATTAGTGTTAAGCCATGAATTTCTATACCGTTTTCAGGGCCAGGAAATAGTCTGTGGTCATCAAACATCCATTGTAACTCTCGATATTGAGGATTGGCGTTTATATTGCAGTCTAAGTAAATATTTGCACCTTCTTGCACTTCATGACCTTGATCATTAGATCGTAACTTTACAGATATCTCAGGTTTATCTGGAATAATCGTAGACGATAAAGACAAAAAGGGTTATTGACAAACGTCTGCATTTTATATTATGCTAAAATATGTTTAAATAAAATTAAATGAACCTTGAAAACAAATCGTTATTATACTATATACAAATATAAATAGACTCATTTAGTTTCATACAAACGTAAATAGGTTCACTTAGTTTCATACAAATCTAAATATACTCACTTAGTTTCATACAAATCTAAATATACTCACTCAGTTTCATACAAATATAAATAGACTCACTCAGTTTCATACAAATGTAAATAGACTCACTTAGTTTCATACAAATGTAAATAAACTCACTTAGTTTCTTACAAATGTAAATAGACTCACTTAGTTTCATACAAATGTAAATAGACTTACTTAGTTTCATACAAATGTAAATAGACTCACTTAGTTTCATACAAACGTAAATAGACTCACTTAGTTTCATACAAATGTAAATAGACTCACTTAGTTTCATACAAATGTAAATAGACTCATTTAGTTTCATACAAATGTAAACAGACTCACTTAGTTTCATACAAATGTAAACAGACTCACTTAGTTTCATACAAATGTAAATAGACTCACTTAGTTTCATACAAATGTAAATAGACTCACTTAGTTTCATTAGTACGAATTTACATACATTTCACTTCTCTAAAGTTTGCCTTTGTCGAAAATTTCCTTCTTATTTCAGTTTTTCTGTATTTATTCCGTTCAAGTTTCTAGCATTCTCTCTCGTATCGCGTGTAATAAGTACATTTAAGTATTGCAGGTTTTCTCGTTGTTTAATATTACCCTTTATTTACATTTTAATTTTTTTCCCTATTCCGTAAAAGCTCTTAGCACTGTCTCCCTTAAACAAGTAATGCGTAGATATATAAATATAGTTGATTCTATGCTTTTTTTCACTCATTACTCTCACGTAATTCTTTGTTTCACTCACATTTTTCTTAGTTTCAAGTTAAGTGCTTAAGAGAATGGGTTTTTGATGTAAAAAAGGGAATTTTATTTTGATTTACTGGACCACTAGAAACGGTTTAACGAGTACGTGTTTGTTTTTGTGAAATATTGTTAACTAATTTTCACATTCGTTTTTATTGGCTGTTCTGGAGCATGGGAAATCGATCCCCGGGCTTTAGCATTGTTAGTCCGTAAACTCACCACTGGTCCACCATCATCAGTACGTTTCATACTTTAGAGACTTTTAAAGTTTTAAAACAACATACTGCCTAGATTTGAGAATCTTAAAAAGTAAAACAGGCTCTTTTGCGCTGCACTAGTAAACAATAAAATATCAATCTCTTAGCTAAATGTCTACTGTTTGCTTTAGGTTTAACCGTCAGCTATAATGTGTTCAATGATGTAATTTTGATTAAACAATTATATGCAGATATAAATATTTGATATAAACTATATACAAGTGTATTGAATCCAATAATTACGTTAAGGTTTCCAGCGATTAAATAATGGAGAACATTAGCCTTTTAAAATACATTAACTAAGGCTCTATTCAACTGCGTTATAAATGCAGCCTGTTGAGATTAAAACTTCCTTAATGCTTACACTGCACGTTTAGTTTCCAAGAATCTTCTAAGGCACTTTCTGACAAACGAGGATTTTGTGCGCGACAAACGAGTTTTTTTCCGTTGTCTTCTTTTGTCGGTCTAATAGCGATGTGACTAGTTGTGACCCTTCTGCTATCCGTCAGAAACTTTTTGGACTCCTTCAGCTCCTCACCTTCCATCCACCAAGTTACTTCCGCCGGGGGGAGGGACCCCTGAGTCTGGCACGTGACTTCCACTTCGCTTCCAGTAAGAAGTGGGGTTCTTGGTGATGAAATGTGAACAATCTGAGGCTTCACTGGGCAAGGATATTTAGTGGTGAAAGCCAGGGTTTGGGAGAAAAATAATTAATTAATTTATATTACTACGGTCTCTAGCATTGCGTCAATTCGTCACAATTACGTTTTTATTTTACGTTTAATTTTAATTATATCAATTTTTGGAGAAACAATCTCCATCCTTTACCCTAGAATCGAGTTTTTAGTTAAATACGTTCATCGTTTTATAATTAAAGCTGGTAGTAGTATTCAAAATACTAATATTCTTGTTAATTTTACAATTTCATTAACTAACTAAGCAGTCAAACTCCTGATGATAAAGTTATTATTAAAATTAAAACCTGAAGCTTTTTAAGTGATATATTACGATATATATATATATATATATATCCAGTAACACTTAAGAATATCATTATTACAAATAAATTTAATTTTATTAATG